CCTTACGAATTTGTTTATATGAAAGCAGCTCGATAGAATTTAAACAATGGAATTCGCAGTGAAATCACTGCGACAAAGAAGCGTTGTTTTGGCGGGAAGAGTTGATTCGGCAGAATCTGGTGCAGGCAGTGACATAAATCTCTTTTCAGTTTAACGGTATCATTCAACTAGTTGACTTCAAATGTCGTAGTAGTTAAATGCTCTTACCACAGGCATTGAGGGATGGCGGGATAACGTTCTGTAAACATGTAAAAACTTCATTGGTGCAGTTTTGACTTTAAACCCAGGGCCCCTCTGGATATCAGCCTCGTTGCTGAATGGGCCACCCTGACTTAATAAAGTCTACCTACCCGACCTGTTCGAATCCAATCGATTTCGATCGTGTAAATTGAGGGGAAGAGAAACTTGTTTCACAAGCAAGTAAAATTTAGGCTTTAATAGTCTTATGTGCTAAGGGCACGAAGAGGATTGACTGATAGGGGCCAAATCCTCCTTTGATTGAATTTTATCGAGAACAGTACCCTTAACACCCCCAGACGGTGAACCATACTTCTTAGGAGAATTCATTTTGGGAAGACCGCAGCAAGACCAAAGGATGACTTATAATTATGTACTCCTCTCAAACAGACTGGAAGTTCATTTAAAGTGACATAATTTTACTTCCAAATTTAATTCATGGTGGCATATGCTCTCTGCTTACTTCTAGTTAATTGCATGTCACTAACAATCAGAGAAAATAAAAAGAAGTGCTAGTCTGGTAGGCAGAGATTTTTTTATTTGTTTTTATGAATGGATGCAATGTTTTCAATGGATCATATCTGGGACTACTTGTCAGACTGGTGAAGTTCAGTGTCTTGTTGAAGTATGTTTTTCGTATAGCGTGGGAAAAACATGGACAAAGTTATGTAGTGATAAAAGATGCTTAGATTTTTAAACTATAATGTGCTTTTCCCCCCTCATGGCAGGCCAAGTGGTGATAAAAGCAATGATTCTGTGAAAGTCACCCTCATAGCAGATGAGTGGCTGTCAAAAAAAGGGGGCCTCTCCACCATCAACAGGGAGCTATCCATGCAACTAGCAAAATCTGAAAATCTGAAAGTCAGTCTTTTCATGCGTCAAAGGGATAGTGCAGAGAAAAACAGGGCAGAAGAATGCAATGTTGCAATAATCGAGTCACAGGCGCCAAATGAAGAGGAATGGTGGAAATTTCCTCCCACAAACTTTAAAACAGACTGTGTCATTGGACATGGTGCAAAGCTTGGAAAACAAGCAGAGTATTTAAGAGATAACTTTAAATGCAAGTGGGTGCAAGTGGTGCACACAGAGCCGGAAGAACTGTCAAGTTCCAAAAGATATCCAGGGGCTGGGGCTAAAGGTGAGGAGAAGTCTGAGGAAGAAGTCAGGCTGTGCAGAAATGCTGATATGGTGGTTGGCATCGGACCAAAATTGACAGAAGCATACAATGCCAAGTTACGCCCTCATAAAGAAGTTTTTGACCTTACCCCTGGCATTTTGAAGGAATTTGTTGACATCAAACAAGCATCAAATGGAGGCAGGAATTTCCGTGTGCTTATCTTTGGCCGTGCGGACACAGAAGATACTTCCCTTAAAGGTTATGATCTTGCTGCCAAGTCTATTGCAGAATTGCATAAGAGCGATAACTCTATCTAGTTGATTTTTGTGGGTGTACAAGATCAGAAGCATGATGAAGTGAAAGAAAGGTTAAAAGATCATGGTCTTCTTGAAGAAAGATTTTTGACCAGATCATTTTGTAAATTCAGAGAGAGGCTTGCTGAAAATTTTCAAGAGGCAGATCTTGTTATTATGCCATCAAGGTCAGAGGGCTTTGGGTTAACAGCATTAGAGGCACTGTCTGCTGGCCTCCCAATACTTATAGGCTGGAACACTGGGCTTGCTCAAGCCTTAGAAAAGGTGCCAAGTGGAACCAGTTGTAAAGTGAACACTGATGACCCTAGCAGCTTGGCCAGAGCAATTAAAGAAGTGCGAGGTAAAGAAAGAAAGATTAGACTTGAAGAAGCAAGGCGTCTTCGTGAAGACTATGACAAGGAATATCCTTGGGAAGCACAATGTGAAAAGCTTGTAGAGGAAATGCTTAAGTTGCACAGACATGGTATGCTTAGTGTTGTGCAGTGTATTCTTGTCAGTGTCTTCATTAACCAGTAACTCGAGTTTTCAGCTGGGACATTACTTTGTAAACTAGCTTGCAAATTAACCCAGCCAGTTTATTTATCATAGGGGCTAGGAGGGCTCGTGGGTGGACTGTGGAAGCTTCAGTCCTGGAGGTGAAAATGGAAAAAAAAGAGAATCCTGATTAATATGTAGATGTTTTCTGCATTTTAGCAATAGTGTGGGAAGGAGGTAGAAAAATGTTTTCACCCTGCTGTGCAATTTCCACAAATCACTGCACATGTATATGTACTTGGTAATAAGAGTTCATATCAAGTGAGTGCCTTATAAATAGTGACGCCAAAAAAATCGATGATTAAAATGATGTCAATAATGACAATTTTTCAGACCTTGCTGAAGTCTCTACAATTCAACATGTGAACACTGCACCTCAGCAGGCTTCATCTAGTCAACTCAAAGGTACATGTGGAATGTAATTTAAATTATGAAAATATGAAAGGCTAACTCACTGCTGATTGAATAA